TTTGTGTCAGTACTGAGGCTTGAACTCAGGGCCTGAGTGCTGGCTCTTAGTTTTTTTTTCCCTCAAAGCTAACACCCTATCACGTGAGCTATAGCTCCACTTCCAGTGTGGTGGTTCATTGGAAATAAGAATCTCATGGAATTTCCTTCCAGGGCTGACTTCAAATCTTGATTCTAAGAGCTCATGCTCCTCAGAAGTTAAGACTGCAGTCATGAGGTACCCATTCTTGGTTTATTACTGTCTTTTATATTGCTTTTTTCATCTAACAATATATGTTGAAGATTAGTCCTTACCAACATATATAGGCTAATTTATTATTAATTATTAAAAGCATAGAAAAAAATGGCCTGAAACTGTAGTTTAGTGATGTGTAAAGCACTGTATTTGTTCCCCAGTACTGTAAAAAAAAATATAGAAAATAATTGACTTATACCCACTTAGATTTTACAGATCTGCACCATTATTGGCTCTGCAATGACAATCTTTCCATTTGTGTCATTCACATACACAAATGAGGTGAAGTTTTTTAAGGAGGGCCAAATTATCCTCCAAAGAAGCCAGATCTCTCTTCCACATTGTAGGAGTGTCACTGACATTGCAGGAGGACCCGTGCATCCCCACACTTGCAGAAAGTGTCATCAGATGTAGGTGGAGGAAATTGTTTCATTCTGCGCTTGCTTATGTGGATGCTCTAGAGTGCATACGGTGGGTCAGAAAGGAATCATACTTGTAGGGAACTTACTGTCCAGAGAGGAAAGACAAGGTAAACAGTGACGAGTGTTGGGAGCAAGGTACAGCAGTTCAGAGGAGGGACTGAGCACCGGGAAGGGTGGGTCAGGAATGCACCAGGGAGGAGAATAGGCCTTAATGTTGTGTCAGTAATTAGCCTGCAGAATTGATTGAATAAATACCTGCCTATCATTTATTGGTTAGCAGTGAATAGGTACTGACTCAGGACTCATGATCATCTTCTGATACTTTCATTCTCTTTCAGTTGCCTTTTTCTGGCACAAATCTTTTCACTCCCTTTACAAGTCTTTTTTTTTTTTTTTGAGTCTGGCAGTTTCTAGAACCAGCCACCCCTTTGAAAAGAGACTGAGCTGAAAAAGGAAGTAGAATTTTTCTCTAGAGATGGGAACATTTTCAGAATGTTGACTTATGTATTTGAGATTTACTTCAAATTTAGATGTAAGAAATAAATAGTAGCATACACAAAGAAAACTCTTGGTAGTGGAAATAAATCACTGTTGTAATGGTATCACATGAAACTGCAGTCATGAAATCTTTCAACATGTAAATAATTTCCAACTCTCTTTTATAGTTAATTATTTAGGGTTGGTTATTTCTTTTTTCTTTTTCTTTTTTTCTTTTCTTTTCTTTTTTTTGGGTCCAGTCGTGGGGCCTGTACTCTGGGCCTGGGCCCTGTCCCTCAGCTCTTCAGCTCAAGGCTAGCACTATAATACTTGAGCCACAGCACCACTTCCAGCTTTTTTCTTTTTGCTTATGTGGTGCTGAGGAATCGAACCCAGGGCCTCATGCATGTAAGGCAAGCGCTCTACCACTGAGCCACCTTCCCAGCCCTGGCTATTTCTTTTTTAAAGTTAATTTCTAAGGGACATTATAACTAATTTATAATACATAACTAATTATGTATAACTTATGAATAATTATAACTAATATGTATATATTCTAATATATGACATATAAATGTGCTTTTATTTTTTTAGAATATTTAATATAAAAACAATTAAATAGAGCTGAGCCCCAGGCTTATGCCTATAATCCTAGCTATTCAGGAGGCTTAGGTCTGAGAATCAAAGTTCAAAGCCAGCCCAGGCAAGAAAGTCCATGAAACTGTCCAATTATCCAGCAACAAAGCCAGAAGTGGAGCTGTGGCTCAAATGATAGAGCACAGCCTTGAATGGAAAAAGCTGAGGGACAGTGCCCAGACCCTAAGTTCAAGCCCCAGTCTCATTGCCTACTCACCTAAATAAATACAAAATAAAAGATGAGTTGATCTTACTGAAGCCAAGAGTTTTTGTTCTCCCCACATCCATTAAAGGGACTTCCTAGGTGGGTTAAGGTCAGGGGATGAATAAGCAGGAGTCCAGCTGGCCTCTCTCCTGGGGTTTGAATGGCTACCTTTTCCTGCTTCTGCTGGTGCCAGAGCTGAATGAAGGGCTGTGACTTCTGAGAAGAAAAAATGATGACTAATGACCCCAAATGCCAGTCTTCCACCCAGACCCCACTTTCATCCTCAACCTCCCTGCCTTGCAACAGCATCGTTTCTGGAAATCTCCACTTGTTTTTCCTACTCTGTGCCTTTCCCCGCCTCTCCGTTGACTTTGCTTGTCTTCTTTTTTTTCCTTCTCTCACTGACCTTTTTTTCATTGCTTCATTTCTTTGAAAAGCATTTGCCCTGAATGTATTAAGTGTTTACAGCATCAGCTATTGCATTGTAGTATGTGGGGTCCAGTGCAAAGTGAAAATTCAGGTCTATGAGTTAAAATAAACATCATGAAGAGCAAGGTGTGGTGCATGCATTAAATGCATGTAATTAATGCATTTAATGCGGCCTCCCTCCGGAGCCTGAGGTAGGGGGACCACAAGTTTGAGGTCAATCTAGGATATAGTGAGACTGTGTCTCAAAAATCCATTTCTCCAAATTCTTTTATTTATTTATTTATTTGCCAGTCCTGGGTTTTGAACTCAGGGCCTGGGTGCTGTCCCTGAGCTTCTTTTTGCTCAAGGCTAGCACTCTATACTTGAGCCATAGCACTACTTCTGGCTTTTTCTGTGTATGGGGTACTAAGGAATTGAACCCAGTGTTTCATGAATGCTAGGTAAGCACTCTACCGCTAAGCCACCTTCCCAGCCCTTCCCCAAATTCTAATTTAAACATAGTGATAGGAAGCAGTGAGCCAGATGTGAGGCCATGTGGATGTATAGATTGCAAACTCTTGTGCTGGCCTCACATGCGTAGAATGGGAGTCCTAGGGTGAGCTAGAAGCTCATAGAATTATAATCTGATTACACCCCTTTCTCCCTCCTGAACAATATGAAATGTTTTATTTTTTTAAATTTTATTCTTCCGACTTTGACAAATACTGTGTTTATGGGGAACAACATGTTTATGTTGTAGAATGATTAACATATCTATGTTACCACCATTTTTGAGTTGATAACATTTAATATGCATTGCTTTAAGTATTTGGACAGAAACAATATGTCTCTAACGATGGTTATCATGATGTGCAGTAGTTAGGAGGTCGCTTAATAATTCATTATTTTTTAAAGTACCAGGGGTTTGAACTCAAAACCTCACACTTGCTAAGTTTATGTGATAACACTAAGTCATGCTTCCAATCTTAGCTGGTTAAGATAGAGTCTTTCTTCTGTTCAGCATATGCTTGAATGGTTTCTTGTTGTTAGTAGGGTGGCAGGTGAACACCACTGTGTCCAGCTTTCTTCTGTTGAGATGGGATCTCTCAGACTTCTACCTTGGCTGGCTTGGAACCAATCTCAACCTCCTATGTAGTTTAGGATGACAGATTGACAGATTGCTTAGCTATGGGTTACAAAGGGGCCCTTGAACTGCGATCCTGCTATTCTCAGCCTCTCCAGTAGCTATTACAGGGCGTGATTCATCCATAGTACCCAGCTGTGTGGGTACTATGGCTGGGTCACACTTTTTTTTGTACCAGTACTGGGACTTGAACTTAGGACCTCTTGCTATCACTCAGCATTTTTGTTTGAGACTGCTTCTCCACCACTGAGCCACGTTTCTACATCTGGCTTTTTGGTGGGAGATAAGAAGCTCTCAGATTTGACTACTTTGGTTGGTTTTGAGCTGTGAGCCTAATATCACAGCCTCCTGAGTAGCTAGGATTACATGTGTGAACCATTGGTGCCCTCATCACAATTTTTGAAATTAAAAAAAAAAAAACCACCAAAAGCCGCAGTGTGGAGACAATGATCTTTATTCATAAAACTTCCTACACTCACTGTGCTCCAGCAGCTCCTATCTACGAGGACCTCTACTTTGTTTTAACTTGGCTCTTAACTTTGTAAAGATTGGACATTTCCCCATCATTTTATGTTATTAACTTCTTTGAAAAAGGGAGGAGTTAACCTGGAAATGTACTTGTGGCACAGAGAATACAGGTTTTAAATCCTGGGTGATGTAGGAATCATGAAAAAGGGGTGAGAGGAAGAAAGCAGATGGGATGGGCTCTGGTTCTTCTGGGGCAAAGAGAAGATGGCATCGGCTGTTCAAGGCTTCCAGCACTACTGAAGGCTCTGTACTTGGTTCCAGCCAGGTGTGCCAATATGATCTCAGTTTCAGAATGAACTCTTCCCACAGTAGTGAATGTGCAATGGAAACTCAGGAACTCGGGATTCTGATGAATGTACGCTGGCACTGACAGAAGCCCTAACTTTGGATAGTGCTTCACAACTGGCATGGGGGATGGGAAAGCTAAAGTACTTTGGAGGGCACTTGGGTTATAAAAGGTCAGAGACAGGGGCTCAGGGGTGTTCTCAGCATCTGCTTGGTGAGTGAACCGAGAACTAGGAAGGGGTGAGGACCTTTCCCAAGTCTCTGTGTACTAACTTTGTTCTGGTTCTATTGGTCTTTGTAATTGGACCTGGCTTAAATATTTGGGCACAAGTTGGGCCATACTCTGGCCCCCTCCACTGGCTCCCCCTCTTATTGGGTTTCTGGTCCCAGCCCTGGTACCATCATCACTGTGGCTGGTCAGGTGGCAAGCTGCTTGGCTGGTAAGTTCATGGGGTTTAGTATTCTGTCTCTGACACAGATCCCTGGGTTTCTAAGTAAGAGAAATGGGGACTGTCTCCTGTGCCTCACACACATCCGTCCACCATGGACTGAGAGGGCTGAGAGTCTGGCAAGAGTTCTTGCCCCAGCCCCTGGAGCAGGACAGATACGACTACGGGAACAAGTGTACACCAACAGTATCAGGGCAGACCTTGACCCAGACATCTTCTGCTTATTGATTGGCATGGGCTTTATTTTGTGGGAAAGCAGAATGTGGGATTCTCCAAAAGGCACTTGGGAAGGGGCAGAAATAAAGGCAGCCATGGCTAATGGTGGACGATTGGTAGGGGTAGGTAGAAGAGACTGCCCCTGGGGCCACAGAAGAGATACCCAAAACCCAGTGCACCAAGGGGGAGGGGGAGGGGGAGGGGCAAAGCCAGTGTCCTGCTGGTTTATACCAGTACTTTGCAGTCTTAGAGTCTGGCACTCTGGGTTAGAGGCGCAGGGCCCATCCACTTCTCTCCTGGATAAAGAAAATTAGAGATGTCCACACACTGTTCACAGGTTATGTGAACAGTGTGATGGTCCCACAGAGCCCCAAGGCTTTCTAGAATGAGCAAGGCTTGCCTTCAGGATCCAGAAGCTTTCCTTCTCTCCTTTGAAGTAGGAAGTCACCCCTGCTCCCACCCCTTCTCCCCACCCTGACGTCCAGCCTTGAGCAGCACTGCTTCCTTGTTGGAAGTGCTAAGCACTTGTTCGGAACACTTCCTTCTGGTCAGCGGGAGTAAGCGTGGGTATCAAGGCCCAGAATAGAAACTTGAACTTACCCAGCAAGTATGCTAGCACCTCCATGCGGTCAGAGCCAAATAACATGTGGGTTTTACCATCCAAATGGACCACAGTGGTAGGGAGCCCAAAGGCCTGCAGAGAACAGTTGAGTGTAGAGAGAAGGTGCTGCAGCAGGTTTGTATTGGGGGTGGGGTGGGAGTTCCAGGCAACACGTGTGTGTGGGGGGGGAGGGGGTGCTGGTACAGAAGGAAAACCAACGAAGGGATCTTTGCCAAGAGCCTTCATGGGATCGGGTTCCTCTTCTGCTTCGGTAGCACAGAGCCTTTGGCTCCTGTCTCACCCTCCACCTCCCTCTCTTCCCTTCCCTTCTTGGGCTCAGGTAGAGGAGAAGCAAGTGGGTTGTTTGGAAGAACTGAGGAGGACTCATACTGAGGAGGGGACTTTGGGGAGCGAGTGAAGGGCCCCACACTTACAGTCCCTACCTTCAGGGTGGGACTTGGAAGCAGTTTCTCACCCCATATTTGCAGGCTGCCTCAGTGGTCTCCTTGAGCTTGTTCTTCACCTCTGCTGTGGATGCCTTCTTCAGAAAGTTTTGGGCTTGCTCTGCAGACAAACCTGCTTTCTCTGCAGCCTAAGAGATGGCAGAGAGCACAGCTGTGTCCACGCTGTGTCCACACTGCGTGCAAAAGCTCTAGTCTTTTCCTTCTCTGTCCTCAAGTTTTCCTGGTAAGGCCTTCAGCCACCCCTAAGTCTATTCTTGTCAAGAGAAACTGTCTCCCTGCCTCAGAGTCTTGAGATTAGTAGAAAGAGCAGGGGCATAGAGTCACAGACACAGGTGACTGAATTCCAGAGGACAGAGACTAGCTGGACTCACCTACTCCTTTCACAAGATATAAAATGAACACATCACCTGCTCAACAGGTACAGAGCTTGTCAGTAGCAATGCTAGATTCCAAGTCCAAGTGATTTCCTTTCTACCTCTCAGAATTCCTAAATATCTCTTGCTGTGTGGAATCAAGGACTGGGTTCTAACTCCTCTGGATTGTGGGAGGGGATCATGACTATAGTCACCTGCCTGGTTTTAAGAGAATGATAAAGGTTTCCATTTAAGGGTGATTGTTGAAGTTTTGGATCAGTGGTTCTCAACTTTGGTTGTAGATTACAATCTCCCAAATTGAAAAAATGCCAACCCCAGGTTGGGCATTCTCTAGAGAACATCAGAGCCCTAGGGGGTGGGGTTGGCACTGGGTACTTCTGGTAAGGCTAGTGTTAAGTGGAGCACTGAGACTTGATGTCCTTCTTTTGGAGGTCATGAAGTTTATGCTAAGGGACGATTGTCTATGGCAGGTTAAATCAGAGATTTGAGTCTCAGATGAAATGTTCAGCATAAAGGAATGGACAAGTGAGCAAAAATAAGGCTAGTATGTGGGATGTTATATGGAAATGTAACTTTCAAAAAGTTAAAAATGAGCATGGTAGGCTCATGCCTATAATCCTAGCTACACAGAAGGCTGAAAGCGTGCACACCAGTTCCGGTGCTTGAATTCAGAGTCTGTGCACTGTCCTTAAGCATTTTTCTCAAGTATTCTACTACTTGAACCACAGCTCCACTTCCAGCTTTTTTGGTAGTTAACTGGACATAAAGAGTTTCACAGATTTTCTTGCCGGGCGTGCTTCAAACTGTGATCCTCAGATCTCAGCCTCATGAGCAGCTATAATTATAGTGCCCAGTTGTGAGACTCTTATCTCCAACCACCAAAAAGCTAGACAAGTGATAGAGCACCAGCTTTGAGTAAAAAGTGTACAGGTTCTGAGTTCAAGCCCTAGGACTGGCATGCAAAAAATAGTTAAAAGTGTCATGGAAAGTGTTAAATAAAATTATGCTTATTCTCTGATGAAATAAAGACACAGAAGATATACTGACCATTCTCTGCACATTTAACTTTGGTATGGTTTACCATTTCATGTATTACACATGAATATACCTTACCTCTCTCCTGTAAACTAGAAGACAAGTATTGTTTTGAATTTCCTGACTGAACATTTTTTATCTGAAGCTCTTGCCTCTGCATGGCTTTCGGTGTTTTGAGCATTTTCAATTTGCTGCCATTTCTGTCTGTATAATTTTGGCACCAGGCCCTTATCGTTTCTAGGTCTTTTTAGTCTCCTGCTTTCCACTTTGCATCTGTTGGTGAGGTTTGTGTTGGAGTCTTTGGAGGCTGGGTTCTACCTGCATCTGGGGTTTTGCAAAGTTGATCATCTCTTCCTCATGCATGCTAAGCTCGCAATCTTAACACTGAGCTACACTTTAAGCCTCTGAGAAATCCCCCTCCCCCCCTCATTCTTTTGGTGCTGGTACTTGAACTCAGGGGACATGCTTAGTACTTTTGCTCAAGGCTCTACCACTTGAGACACACTTACACTTCTAGCTTTTTTTCTGGCCTTTTTTTTTTGGTGATTGGTTGTAGGTAAGAGTCTCTCAGATTTGTCTGCCTAGACTAGCTTCTAACCTCCAACCTCAGATCTTAGCCTCCTGAGTAACTAGGATCATAGCTTGGTGGGAAATTCTTTTGAGAATCCTCTTTGTGCCAGCTTTGCATTCATTTGCCCTCTCAAAAACAGACATTCTTTCTCTCTCTGACCTTTCCCACACACTATGAAAATGAGTCTTTGCTTTATCTCCAAAGGCCAGCAGTTGCCATAGTCTCTAGGACCGCCATGGGTGGGGCTGCAGTACTTACCTCTAGGATACTCTGGGGTGCAGCTATGTCTTCATTCTGGGAAGAAGAGAACACTCAGCAGGAAAACACTGTCAGGAGGCAGGATGGCCAGGCCCTCCCTCTGGAAAGTGGCATGGCAAAGTCAGGCCACCATCCAAGCTTCCCAATGGCAGATTCCCAAGAGCCAAGCCCTCACCCGTGACCAGATGCGCATCCACAGCTCCCTGGACACCTTCTCCAGCATCTGTGGTTGCTCCATGTTGACTGCGGTGAGGAATCGCATGGCTGCCAGGGTTCCTGCGGGGTGGAGGTGGGGAGAAGGGTAAGGGGGGGGGAGGTTTGCACACAGACACTAGAGTGTAGGGCTTCTCTCGCAAGTAATCAGACGGAGGGAGGGAGGGCCAGCTCACCCCAGGTGCTGGCTTTCCCAGGCTCACTCACTTGTGGCCTTTCACAAAACTGTTCATAACTGACTTGCCCTGCTCGGCTTCTCCTTATGTCACCAAGAACCTTTCCCCCATACCAACGCTTAGCTTAGCCTGAGTTAGTCTTCCGAGCAAGCCCCTGCTTCCTGCCCCTTTAGTCACCTGCTCTGATCACTGCTGCCCCAATTCCCCAGCCGCACCCCACCTCTTTACCTTTTGGAACAACCTCAGAGAAGAAATCATTGCGGAAATTCAAGGGCACCTGGAAATGCCTTTTCAGGAGATTAAGGTCACCTTTCATGTACTGGGCCTTGGCGGGCAACAGACCCGGCGCCTGGTTTCCTGGTGTGGAGAGTTGGGCAAGTTGGTGAGAGTCAACTCGAGGGTCTCGGGCTTGGCAGACCCGCTCTGGGGATCCCCCACAGGGCACATTACCAGCCCCTTCCTCGCAGCCTCTCACCCGCTCCTCAGAGGTCTCCCCCTTCCTACCGCTGCTCCGCATGACGCCCCCGAGGAGGGTGGGCTGCAACTTCAGCTTGATGTTCCAGAGCTTTTGGTATCTGCACAGGACCTGTCCGCGTGGAGGCAAAGGAGAGCCAGTGTGTGGAAGACTCCAGAAAGACTTCGGAGAAAGTGACAGGGTCCAGAGCAAAGGGCGACAAACTCGCTCCTCCGGATCCCCAAACCTTTGCACCACTGGACGGGTTCCATCCTGCCTGGCACCCCGACCCCCACACTGACGTCAGAGGGCTGGTGGTAGCCCTGGATCCCCCCTCGGCTCCTTGGTGTATCCATCCCCTGTTCTCTTCTGAACCCCGAGGCTGCCCTGTCTTGGGGGGTGAGGGCTCGACTTGGAACCGGCAATGGCACAAGGTGACCTTGAGTCGGGGCGCACTTTGCCTGTCCACGGCCCCCCAACCCCCAGGGCTGCGCCAGAATTCCAGACTTCTGCCCAGGGGGCGCCCCGCGCTCGCGGTGCCTCTGCCCTCCAGGCCTCGGCCTGTCTGCCCCTGTTCCCCCAGGTCACCTCGAAGCCCAGCCAGGAGTAGGGGGACATCACATCGTAGAAGAACTCCAGAGTGCGCGGCCCGGGCCCCATGCTGCCGCGGCAGGTGAAAACACGGGAAAGTCAGGCCACGGAAGAGCAACTAACTGCTCCAGGTCCCTGCGTCCCGGGCGCGCAGACACCGCCCCCGGCGACGGGCACCGCCCCCGGCGGCATGCCCCGCCCCCTGGCGCGCTGGCACCGCCCCCCGAGCGAGACACCGCCCCCCCCGGCGCGCTGGCACCGCCCCCTGCAGCAGGCTCCGCCCCCATCCCTGGCACCGCTCCCCCCGGCGCGCTGGCACCGCCCCCACGGCGCGTACACAGCGCCCCCGGCAGCAGGCTCCCTCCCCCCGCCCCTGGCACCGCCCCCTGCGCGAGACACCGCCCCCCGGCTCGCACACGTCGCCCCCGGCAGCAGGCTCCACCCCCCGCCCCTGGCACCGCCCCCAGCGCGCTGGTAGCGCAGTCCCCGCCCCATCTCCGTTCGGTCGCACTTACAGGTAGTCTTCCCCCCCTTCCGCGCCAGTGCGCAGCCTCCAGAGGCCCCGCCCCGGGGGCCCCCCCCGGCGGGGGCGGGACCGGGCTCCAGCGTGAGTGGGAGCAGAACGGTGTCCAGGGTTCCAGGGGAAGCGCGGTGGGGGGCGCCGGTGGCTCCACTCCGCACCCTGCCCTGGTGTGGGGTCTGGTGCCGAGCGGGTGCGCGGTCTGACAGGCTCTCGGAGCCTCTGCCCGGGTTGCGCGCCTTTGGCCAGTTCTCTCGGGAGCTCTGTCCCGGGGGTGGGTGGGGGGGACAGGGCAGGTGCGGGGCCGGAAGGCGCCGCCGCTCCAGCGAGCGCGAGCGTAGTGAGCTGGCGTGAACCTCGCGGACCCGGGGGGAGAAGCTCCTCAGGTTCCCGCGGCCCCCGTCGGTCTCTGCGATTGGCACCGCGGCGGCTCCTACCCTTCCGTACGCCCGGACCCTGCGCGGACCGGTGGAGCGGCCCTGGGCAGCCCTGGGCCCGCACGTGCATGAGTTAGGCGCTTTAGAGATGATCAATGGTAACCGAGTGCGTCGGGGCCCCCGCCGCGTACGGGCTACAAGGGTTACCAGCACTGGAATCCAGCACTGCCACGTTTGGTCTGGTCACCAGATTAGACACCGACCCGGAGGCGGTAGCGTACACAGAGCAGATACCCCCAGTGGCGGAGTGATTTGCCTCCCTGGAAGGGAGTCGTGATACAGACCCAGAAACACTCATAACTTCACGTTTTTGAAGTGTGTGTTTCTGGAATTTTCCATTTACTCTTTTCAGAACACAGTGGAGTACTGGAAAGTGAAACTTTGGCTGAGTAAAGGTCCTATTCCTATAGGCCCCCTCCATCTACTTATTGCTTAGCAAAGTTTCGAAAAAAAACCCACCACAAATCTTGAAAATAAGTTACAATTAACACCTGGTATGTCGCACATGTGCTACCTCTGATTAAAGATCATGGAGACGCAAGTTAAATGAGCAGAAAAGTGAAGGACATTTTTACATTTTTTTTTTTTTTTTTGAGAGACTGAAAGAGACAGGGCTAGTCAGGGCTGGGATAACTTCACTATAGCAATGTTTATAGGAATAATGGGGAACTTGTGTGTGCAAATACACCCTGTTAGCAGAGTCTTTATTTACTACAATGATATATAAAGAATCACATTCAACTGAATTAAAATTATTTTATAAATGAGAAAGCACAGAACAGATTCCATTGCTCACTTATATTCATTAGGAAATAGTTCTAGACTCTGAGAGTACCAAGATCAAGCCAGTACCTCCACATGGAATATGCTATAGATTCCTCTGTAATGTCTCCCAAAGGCCCATGTATTAAAGGCTCTGTCCCAAAGAAATGGGCAGTGCCTATCATCCTACCTACTGAGGATTTCAGTCCAAAGCCAGGGGCAGCAAAGTCCTTGTGGCTCTCGTCTACAGTTAAACACCAAATAGCGGGAAGTAGAGGTATAGCTCAAGTGGTAGAGCACCAGCCTTGAGAGAAAAGGCTCAGGTACAGTGCATGGACCCTGAGTTCAAACCCCAACACTGGCACAAATAAAAGAGTTATACAATCTGAATAGCAGCCATGGTAAGAGTTAGAAACTTTAAAAAGGGGGGTTGGTGAAGGTCATCACCGGTGAAGGTGAATGGAGCATGTCCTAGAAGGGACTGTAGAAGTGATCTGCTCCTCTTTGTCTCTTTAGAGTGCTGGCCTTGAGAAGGCTTCACCTTCTACCCCCTCCGTGATGGTAGTGCCATGCCACAGACACTTCCCCAAACAATAGGATTGCCAAATATAGCTGGATACCCCCAATGTCAAATCAAGTAAACCTTTTCTCTTTATAAACTGATTATATCAGTATTTGTTAAAGTAACATAACACTGAATTACACTCACTGAGTAGAACATACAAAATAGAAATGAGAAATGATACCCATTTGTAAATTCATTGGTTAACGACTACTGAAGCCGAACAATTGTACCTTTGTTTTTCTCTTGTAATATTAACTTGAAAGTATGCATGAAATAATTCAACATGGAAGTATAAGGTTTTACTTTAAAAGTAGATGAATTGTTTCTAAAAACATATTTGGAAATAATTTGGGACTTGAGAAAAGCATTCCTGAAAACTCCTTCCCCTGGCTTCTCCTAATGTGAATAATACATAGATGTGGTATAATAAAACTAAGAAATTAACATTGCTACATTGCTATTAATTAAATTGCAGACTTTATTCAGATTCCTCCAGTTTTCTCACTAGTGTTCTTTTTACTAGTTTCCTCTTATCTATGAATGTTTCTTGGTCTGTGTTTTATAATCTTGATACTGTTGAAAATACTGGTCAGCTAGTTTGTAGAATACTTTCTCCTTTTGGTTTGACTGAGATTCTCTCGGGTGTAGACTGGAGTTATGTATTTTGGAGAATACCATGGTGGTGAGATGCTCTTCTCCTCACATCTTACCAGAGAGTATACAATATCAACACGACTTGTGATGACAAAGTTGATCAGCTGGGCAAAGTGGATGCACTATCAAGGCTCTCTACCATAAAATTCCCATTCTCCTTTTGCATACTCCATTTATTATTATTATTATTTCGCATCTTAATTCTTGTTACCCCTTTGAGTCGATCAATGCAGCCCACATTTGTAGTGTGAGTGTTCATTTGAACAATGTGATCAGTGGATTGTGGCTGCTGAAGCTAGGCTGTATGTGATTGGACCAGACTCCTATGATTGGACTTGTGTGGTTGGCTGAGATAGGAGGAGATTCCTAGCTTTTAGTTTATTTCTGTAGTAAGTTAGGCTGCAATTCTTTTCACAGGAAGCACAGAGTTAGCCACAGGCTATTGGCTTCTTGCTTGTTTAGTTGAACCCTAGATATTGATCAGAACTGTTGAAACAAGAAATACTGGCACAAGTAAATAAGTTGCTTTTTCAAATAAGTCCAAGATGCATTATTGAATAAATGGCATTTTAGCAACTGAGATGTTTAAACATGTAGTTGGGGCCTTTTGTCAGGTCTTATTCTTGGAAGATCTCTAAACAGATCCAGTATTTAGTTGTTAAAAAAAGATACTTATACAGTTAGTCATAAAAATTGGAAGTATGGACAGCCCTACTAACTGTAATGCCAGGTGGAGAAACTTAAATGGTTGACACATCCAGTAGTATTCAAGTTTTTAAGAAATCTGCTTGGGAAATCCAGTAAGTTACATAAAGACTGATTAAAAAACATTCTCTGAGTCAAAAGCTCACTTTACTTGTCCTGGGGAGGAAACAGCTAAAGTTCAGTGTATTAAAGGAAAAGAAACCCAGTGGGGAAATGGGCAAGTGAAAATAAAAATTCACAGGAATAAACTTTAGATGCTTTTCAATGAATTTTTTAAAAGCTCTTGCTTGTTCATACATTATGAAATATGTCAGCTAAATCTACATTGATTTGGTTTTATCTGTCAACCTCACCAAGATCAAAGTCTGATGACTCAGTGTTGGTGAACGTTCTTAAGTAATCAGAGGGAGTGTCTAATAGTACAATCTCTGTGGAGAATAGTTCAAGCTTATGTCCTTGTTTTGCAAATGAGCAAGCCCTGACTCAGCATTTGGAAGAATTTATGACATTTACAGGATTGTCTACACAATATAATGTGATATGAGGTTATGAGTGCAGGTTTTTAATGAAGTTTTTATTTAATGAGGCTATTAATTTTAGTCATGAGATAATACTGGCCTTTTCAAATATTTTTTAATATCTATTAAGAAGATCATAATATGCTTTATTTTGGTAATGCAGTGAATCACATGAATTGATTTTTGTGTGCTTAATCCTTTGTGAAGCTGGGTGCAGTGGCTCAGGTTTGTAATCCCAGCTACTCAGAAGGTAGAGATCAGGATCAAAGGTGGAGACCAGCCTCTGTGTCTTATATGCATATGTGTGGGGTAAATTTAGCGAGACTATATTGTAAACAACAAATTGGATATAGTGATATGGGTCTGTGGTATGTATAGATGGACTGGAACAGAAACAAAACAGTATCTATCAGGGATCATGGGCAATTTCTCTTCACTTTTCATAGGCTCTTTAAAGCCATTGTAATTCCCTCTTCCCTCCCTTCCCTTCCCTTCTTTCCTCCTTCCTTCCCCTCCCCCTTCTTTTCCCCACGTCTCTCCCCCTTTTTTTCAACCCCCACTAAGGGGCCTAAGTCTAGTTGAGGCAACTCTTTAGCTGACTCTGGTTTGTGTCCCCAGAGGACATGTACATAATATCACAGTGCCACCTAGTGTAGTAATCTTGATATTTCTCTCATCATAAATTCTTTGGAAGTAATGTCATTAGAGATTTTATAATTTGAATGCTGAAATGTTGACTGTCCCCCCTAAAGGCACAAGTGAAAGCTTGGTCTCCAAGCAGCTCGTGCTGTGGGCATTTAAGGAGTAGGGATTTGTGGGAGGTCCTGAGGTCGCTGGGCATGTGCCCTTGAAGAGGATTGTGGGACCCTGGACTCATTCACTCTCTCTTCCCCCATTCCCATTTCTCTGCTTCCTAGCTCCAGATTTGAATAGTTTTATGTTCTTTACTATCGACACCAAGTACTGTCATTACAGGTCTAAGCAGTAGGACT